CTAATTAGTCCTTCATCTCACAAAAAAAAAAAAAAACCCAAACAAACCATCTGAAAATTCTAATTTAAGTCCTGCCTAGACGATGTCTAAGAAAATGGTGTTCTAAATCAGCTAATAATACACAACTTCCTGAAAATGAAACAACTCATAGTCAACACCCAAGTTCTACACCTGGACGTACATTCCAGTTAGAATTTTGTGTCAAAGAGACAGAGGGACATAACAGGCACATAAAGGTAACTTACAGTTATAGCAGGAGGTAGCACTCCCTTGGAGAGAACAGTAAATATACCTCTGAACCTTCCTGTTTTATAGATTAGCAGTAAGGCTGAAATACAGAAATTGCTTTTGCTTATTTGACAGAGAACCAAAACCAAGTTGGGTTTCTAGAGTCAAAGCTGTGAAATTTTGGGGGATTAGCTGTTGATTTGAAGACAATGTCTAGTTTCCAGTTCCTGTTCTGTGTGGTGCTTATCATAATAAACATAATTAATCTGGTAACTGAATGCAGAAGTTAAAGAAAATGTGGGAGCTACCAGGCAGAACTTGCTGTACTTTTTAATGAGGGAGTCTTCCCTTCCTTGGTCTGGAAGTAAAGCTGGGTGTTAATAATGCACTAACATGCCATGTTGAAAAGTATGTAAGAACTGGAAATCACACGTGCATTATCAGTTTCAGGAAATAAACTGGAAATACTTGAAAGACTCTTCAGAATGTGACAAATGAAAGGATTCTGTTGTTTCAACTTGGAGCTTTCAGCTTTTAAAGGTTTTTGTTTGTTTAAGTTTTTTAGAAAGAAAAGTTATATTAGGGGAATTCTCGTACAATATTACAAAAAATATTCTTTACTGAAGTTACTCTTAAAAAAGCTGTATAGGTTTTGGAGGTTGATGCATTTTTCTTCTATGTCATTACTGATAATTGTTTAAGGACTCCTTTTTTTACAGTAAATCTGCAGAAGGAAAATAGAAGAAAACATTTGTAATAGAGCTGATGTTGCAGATTGACTAGATCACTCTTAAAAAACTCATGGTTGTTTAGAACTTCAGGAATACTGGACTTGCCCCACATTTTCTAATTACTAATTAAGTCCTGTATTCCTGAAAGAGAAGGACCACATGAATATGATTCTAAGAAGAAAAAAAATAAGTACCTTTGTTGGTAGTAGGGTTATGTGTCCCTCTGTATTCTTCCCTCCACACATTCTGACTTGCCTAGCAGGAATCCTTCCAACAATATCACATGTTTTTTTGTGCTTGAGCAAAAATATGTTAATTGGTGAACTCTTCTTTTACTAGCAAGTTATTTTATGCTGTCATAAAAATATTACAAAACCAAGTGCACTGACACAACAAACATTTATATTGCCTACAAATAGGACAGCTGTTTAGTGGAAAGTGAAAGTGGATTACCTGAATTAGCCTATTTATTTTATTCCATTTTTATAATGAGTTATCATTACTTGCGACAACCAGTCATTTTCAGAACTACTGCTCTTGAATATCCCATTTGATGACACTATTTACACACTAACTCATCTCTTCAAATATTTCACTCTTTCAAGTGCATCAGTTGCACTGCCATTTTAGAGGACATGACAGCAAGAACAATGAAAACAGGGCTGGCAGTTAATCACTATTGTTAATATCCATGCAACAGGACATCTGGGAAAATCTGGGGAGGGAGGAGACATTGTAAAATGCTTCTGAGAGTTCATTACTCTGCAACCTCAGGAAGATGTTTTTATCTTTACTTTCTTTATAATGGGTACAAAAGGGATAATAAAATAGGTATATGACATAGCAAATGGATAACTTAATAATCAATTTTAGTGATGTGCAGTAAGTTTTACTGATGTGCTTGTAGGATTTTAGTAAGCATAACTGGTGGTCAAAGACATGGATGAAAAAATACGTAAGTACGAATAACCTAACACTTCCTTAAGCAGTTTTTGTTTTGCATCAGTAAGATCCGGCCTACTTTACAAACTGCAGTTCTTACTGATCACCTTCTGATGATGCATTTTCCAATAAAAACTTCCAATAAAAATATTAAGCAACTCTTCCAAAAGGCAGATTTTTGTTATAAAGAAATGCAACGTAACTGTAGTTGCTAAATTAAAAAACTAGTTCATTGATTTCATTAGAAACTAATGAAAATGTATATTTCAAAGAGACTATCCAGGTGGGATGCTCACTCTACAGGGTCACACTTTGCTGAAGCAAAGTTTGTTTTCAGACAAGACAGTTTTTACTATTTTACTTTCCAAAAAATTGAAATTATTATGAATCTTTATAATTTCACCCGATGACTGAACTCTGAAGCTAATGTGTACTTAATTTCTACAGAAAACAAACTAAGGATGCAACTTTTGCCCTCAGAACAATCTTTCTTAAAATTATGAATGCAATTCCTTGGAAAAAGATGAAAATAACAGATAACCTGTTGAATTCCATCTCATGTAACAGGTGGAGGTACTTCTACCTGACCCTTAACAGTATTTAGAGTTTCTTCTATTTAGCAGTGTGAAAAATTCAGGATTCCCTCAGACCCTGCCTGGTTGGGACAGTGCTGGTGTAAGAACCTAACTGAAACACTACATTTGCAAAAGGGACTGAGTGTTAACAGTACATGAGACAAATGACCAATATCTGGCTAACCTATGAATAATACAAGACTAAGTCATCAAAAGTCCTCAGAAAGCATATATGGCAGCTTAAATACCGTATCTTTCTTTTAAATTTCATTGTATGGCAGTTTTGTTTGTGAACTCCTGTGTCAGAAGTTTACAAAAACTTAGTATCTACAGATATGTATTCCACTTCCTAAATTGTATAATTGCAACAAACACAAGTGAGACACGATAAACAAGTTCTGCAAGAAACTGCCAAATTAATAAGAAAACAATTTAAATAATTGAAGAGACATGTACCTGTGTTTAAGTTTATTCTATATGTATAAACTTATACTGGTGTTCTCCCAAAAAGTTGTTATTTTTGAACTGAATTGATGCCTACTTCAGGAAAAAAAGGTTTTCTTGTTATTGTAGAAATCCCATATTTTAAGAAATCTTTATATTTAAACAGAAATGTGATAAGAATTACAAATGTTAACTATTTCAGAATAAAATATGAGCACAATTTTTATCTTTACATGAAAGTCAGGATGGTGTCTGATAATTTAAGACAAATAAAACAGTATTTTATTTTACAAAAATAAAACCATATTTCTTTGGTGTCAAGTGGGCATATAGCAAACAAAGAGTTCATCTCTTTCACAGAAGAAGAATATTAACTCTCCAGAGAAGCTACGAATGCTGTCAGAGGAGACACCATTATCCTTACTTTCAGACTTTAGTGATGCATGCATACGGACCTATCATGCATAAGGATGATTGTGGAACATTTCTTAAATCTTTGGGCTACTTGGAAGTACAGAACGAAGTAAATATATCCGGTATGCTTATAAGGAAGCTTAAATTTATGCCACCAACTTTTCCAAACACTATACCTTCATGGGCACATACACGCTTCCTTAGCTACCACAAAAAAAATCACTTAAGAAATGCAAGAAGCACTCATCATTCCGTATACTTGGATGCTGACAGTTCGACCACAAATGGAGGTGATGTGCTCCAGCACAATCATTCATTGTTTTATTTGGACACTAATTCCAATGTAACAAAACCTTCTAGACTACACATATTTTGGTCACACATAGCCCTTACACATTGCCACTCAGTACTACTATAAATATACTTTAGAGAGCAAAAAAGTTGTGGACAATAGAAAATTCACCTTAACAGAAATAAAAATGTAATGTGTCCATTGACTTCACTACATCTCAGTCTCACTGTGACAATAAAATACAGGGCTAATAAACAGTCAAGATGCTGTGTTAGTTACAGTCTCTGTTTCTTACTTGCATTAGCAGCAACTGACATCCCTTGATCTGAAAAATTTTAGTTAATTCTTAGAAAAATTTTAAGCACCTTAGCTCTGGAACTCAGACCAGGTTACTATAACTTGTTCCTATTTCTGTGTAGAGCCCTAGAAAATAATTCCAGCTGCAAAGAGGATCCAGAACCAGGGTAACAAACTGTGCTTTTCCTCCCTCCCCTATCTAGAAAGTTTTTATTCTTTCTGGAGGAATTTTTTTTTATATACTAATTCTTTATTCCTTGTGGCATTTAAAACTTGCCTGTCCTCAGTCTTTTAAAATCTGATTACAATGATTTAAAAAAGTCAGAAGGTTAGTATTTCTACTATGCCTTGTTCAGCATTTCAGAGGCTTTAAACATACTTCTTTATTTTGCTTTCTTGAACAATTTCCTTATGCCATACAGAAGTAGTCTTTCCTTTGGACACTATGCATGGAATGTACTTTTGCTTAGCATAAACTTTTGTAGGCTCCAGCTGCATTCTGAGAATTATTACCAATTTAAGGCACAATAAGAGGATCAAAAGCAAATTTAGCAACTCACATTTTTAAACTCATCTAAGATCCATGATATTTGTTATCTGCTGTTGTCCTTAGTAAACTTTCTATTGATCTACTGCTTTTACATATTCTTTGGAAGACTGCATTTCTTAACATGTGTAGTCAAGACTTGATATTGGTTTTTTGTTTCTTAATTAAACATAGGTCATTGTAAAGGAGACATACTAGTGAATTCTGATGGCTTTGTAGGAAGAAAAGGTGTAGCTTAAGCAAATCATATCAAAAGTCAGAAGTATTTACTACAGTATGGTAAGAAACACACAAGTAACTCAATTTTCTCCAAAATAAAATTCTGGATTTCACTGTTCAGTAAGCATATTTGCATCCAGAATCTAACTGACCTTCATCCTTAAAACAAAGTAACACTTAAAAATATAAGTTGCAGAAAGAATTTTTAAAATATAAAAGTTTCTAGTTGAAATACTTGTCAAAACTGTCCAGTTTTAAGGCCAACGTGTAAGACGGTCACAACATTAGAGTGCTGCTGGTGTTGATATACAGGACAGGGATAGCAGAGTGAGAACACAGCTTAAAGTAGAAAACCTCTGAAAAATGTCACTAGCATTTACTTGCTGTAAAACAGATGAAGCCACAGTCCCTTAAATCTACAGTATGTGCTTTTCTATTTACATGTAACCTAAATGATAACATTACTGTGACTGGATATATAGCATTTTGCAGTATATATCTTTAATGCAGGTGTAGAAATCATTAAAGGTAGTACACGTGTATAAAAAAAACAGTTAATCTCAAAGTAATCATAGAAGAATATTGCAAATAATGTATAAACGCATAGTGTTTGAGGTGAAAAAAATTACTTCACTGGAAAATAAAATCCCACCCATTGAGTTTGTCACTTTTTATCACTATGTCACTTTCTTTTTGATTGAAGACAGCTCTTTCTGAATCTCACTGAATTTTGGCCGGTTTTCTGGTTTGTAGTCCCAGCACCTCTGCATTATTTTATATATTTCTTCTGGACATTTCTGGGGTGCTGACATTCGGTATCCTGGTACACAAAAAAGGGAGGAAAATGATTAACATTGAAAACTGATCCATATTGACAAATCCAAAAAGAAACAAGCAAAGTTCATGATCATTGCATTAAATCTATCTGCACAGATTTGTTTCCTGTATCTTAGGAAGTAGCTACTCTCTAGGTTTTAATTATGTTCCCTCCCCCC